ATCAAGCGTGGTTCAAGCTCAACGATAGCCACCACCGTATGATTGTTGGTCATAATTGCCTGTTCCCATCATGAGATTATAATCTCTAGGCATCGTCGATCCAGGAGGAAATCCTGGCTGCTGTTGCATGTGAACTCCCATATTCATGCCCATACTCATGTTTCCTGGTCTATTCATCCCCATCCCCATGGGTTGGTTCACACCTGAATAGCCTCCCATGCCATATCCCGATCCAGGACCATTGGTCATGCCCATACCCATACCCATACCCATGCCAGATCCCATCATTGTGTTTGGTGGAGGCCTGATAGCACCAGCACCAGCACGGCCAATACCAGAACCAGATCCCATGGCTTTACCCATGGTAATGTTCGAGGTTACTGTAGAAGCTGTAGGTTTCTCCATTCTCTTCTCCTTGCGATTTATGGCATCAAAATCAACTCCAATGTCAGCCAATGGATTTGTTTTAGCTGCAAATGAAAAAAGAAAAAGAAAAAGTAGGTATATAAACAAGAGGTAAAGGAAATCACAGATGCAATAAAACTATTACAAATGCAAGAACTCACGTCCAGAAATATTTAAATTGACCAGACCACGGCTTAGAGTATCAGCCCAAACAGTAGATTTAGTCTCAAACTTGTCTTTTGATGGTTGAGGAACTATGGCATTGGCAGCAGAACCCGTTGAGGCTGGTGGAGCTAATTGTGAAGCAACGTGACTGCTTGGCATCAACTGTGGAGATTGAAAACTCATTTGTGAAGCCAATGGGGCATTAGAAGCCGACTGTGGAAGGACGTTATGTTGGGGAACATGTCCACTAGAAATTTGCGGAACCGTTTGAAAAGCTGCTGCACCAGTAGATCCAATCTGACGGTTGTAACCTGCATAAAAGTTGGCATTCGGCTGTGAAGACTGACCTCTAAATGGAGAATGAAAACCAGCCTGTGAAGAGTCCATTTCAGATGGAAAACCTGCAGCTTGACTACTATGAGTGGGAAAACCCATCTGTGATGTTTGACCAGTTTGAGATGGAAATGTCAACGCCATAGACTGATTCAGAGAAACAGATTGACCTTGTTGAAGTGGGTAGCTTGTCTGCGAAGGAGGTTGGCTCAGTTGACCGGGAAAAGTTGTCAATGATGCAAGCTCACTATTTTGAGCGTGAAAACCAGTCTGCATTGCGGTTTGGCTCTGCAGGGACAGCAGACCAGACTGTGATTCAGGTTGATTAGTCTGAGGTGGAAACCCTGTCTGCAACACAGGTTGGTTTGTTGGAACAGGATCAGCTTGTGAATTGGCATAAGGTGAAGCACCAGAGGGTAGATAACTTGTCTGAAAAGGAGTATGGCCTGTTTGACCGGGAAAAGCTGTCAATGATGTAAGCTCACTATTTTGAGTATGGAAACCTGTCTGTGGTACAATTTGGCTCTGTAGGGACAGCAGACCTGATTGTGATTCAGGTTGGTTAGTCTGATGTGGAAACCTGGTCTGTGACACAGGTTGGTTAGTTGGAACATGATAATCAATTTGTGAATTGGCATGAGGTGAAGATCCAGCAGGTGGGAGAATATCTGCTAATATATCAATATCTTCGTCGTTATTTGATAGCTCCTGCTGCTGAAACTGCAGGATTTCTGTAGAAGGAAGTTGTACACCAGGAGGACCAGATGACGTGTAAGTTGTACCATGAAAACTGCCCCCAAAATCATTTTCTGAATTTTGAATAACTAGCTGAGGCAGATCATAACTTTGATAGGGGTTCTGTCTGTAAGAATGTGTAGAGGTAGGTATCTGTTGTTGCGCTGGTACACTTTCTGTAGACGGAATAGCTTTAAAAGGGCCATCCCCAAATGGATCATCAAATGGCTGCAGAAAAAAAGCCAATTTTTTAATTTCCAGAAGTGCATCTATTCTATAATTGAAGACATCAATAGTGCAAGGGCAGGAAGAAGAGGACAAAAGGCAGTTACGCACCAGTTTAAAATCTATGAAAGAACTGCTACATTAAATATAATACAAGTCAACATCAAAGAACAAATAAAAGGAAATGGTTTTAGTTACACAGAAGAATCAATTGTGGTGGGCAGAGCCGCAGAGACTTCTAGTTCATCTGTCTGTATTAACACGAACTTTTCCTCCAGTCTATTTCTAGGAAACACCTTGTAGTTGAAATTTATCTCGACAGGCAATTGCTTATTATTAGACGATTGCTTAAACAACACGGTCAAACAAAAAGAAATATTAATCATCTTTGAATTTTTGAATTAACTTGGCTGAACAGATGAAAACAGAGATTTTTTTCCTTGCGTGGTACTAAATTTATCAGATATCGTCAAACTTTAATTCTCAATGCACATTATTGTGAAAATTTCAGACATGTTACTTCATTTGTCCCCAAGAAATCGAAAAACAGTTAATAGAGATTGGGTTGATGATAGAAAAGAGATGCTCTATTAGAGAGTTGAATTTACAACAATGTCCTTCACCTTCTTTAGGAGGGTTATGAACTCAACCTCTCCAGGGGAAAAAAAATGGATCATCATTTACTGATATGTACAAAAGTTACACAAATTTCAATACTATTTTCAGAAAATTATTCATATAGTTCGTCTCCTACGTAAACTATAAACCTAGCAAGAACCAGCTCCAGAGCAGATGAACTCTGTTTTCAGCTTTCTTCTTTTCCCAAATCATATTCTACGTCATTGTTAAAACATTTCATGAAGTAAATATGCTTAAAAGGAGTTTAACCAGACATAGGTCCAACAGGGTCTAGGCTAACTTGACTAGGATCTGAGTTAAATAATCCATCCAAAGAATGAAATCAGGAAATTCATCGATAACTCTCAGATTGACTAAATCAACTTGAAGCCACAAGTGATACCACCCAAGGGACTCTTTAAAGGCTACTGAGAAAATGAGCTATACAAGATAAAATTTAAAATCAGATTTACTTTTGAAGTAACTAGAATCATACAAAGATTACCTGATTAGAGACTGTGAATGGTGATGGTGTGGGTGTAAATGTGGTAACAGAGCTGGAGTTCGGTGAGGCATTAGTCTCTGAGGTTGCTGTTCCCAGTGCAGCGGACACAGGAGCTAATGAGTTTGAAGATGTCTCAGAAAAAGAGCCCAGTAAATCCATTTCCGCACCACCAGAAGTACTTGGAAAGGTATCATTTGAAATGGCTGGGATAGCTGTTCAAAGAGGCAAAAGAATCAATCAAGACAATCTTACATCAATAGGTTGTATCATAAATTAACAAAATTCATGATTATGCAAAATTGGGCCGTACACAAGTTTATATCATGTGTTCATTAATTCTTTCGCCCTGTCTCCCATCCATTTAACCCCTTCCATACACCAGAAAATGTTGCTCATAAATAAGTCGAGTATGTTCGTGAGATTTCAGCACAAAACCAAAAATGTCAACTCGATCTAGTTAACATATCAATGATCATGTACATCCACGTGCAAATTCTTGTCAGTTTCAAAACACAAAAAAAACTTCCCTATTCCCCTCTCATTAGCTTAGATTTGATAATCATACAGTTATCCCAAGATGTCACATAAACTTCCTTGAAAGTGGAAAAAAACTTAAAGCAGAGAGATATACTGAAGTACAAATATGATAATTTGCTTCGGTTAATAGATCATCAAATGCCTACAAACCTAGTAGCAACTTCCAGAGAAGACAATGCAATTTCTAACAGGTTATTTAGTTCCTTATTTGACCTATGCTATGACTAAGCATAAGAGGAACGTTCGTGTCCAGTGTGAAGATCGACGATAGAAAATAGTTAGGTGTATACATATAGAACCACCTCACTGAAGTGCACAGAAAAAACCCAGTACAGCTACAAGTTCGAAAGGATTCTTGGTAAAATTGTAAAAACGATTTAATGTAATTGGTTATGAGAGCAAGATCCAACCATAAATGACACGTGCAAGACAAGCCAACCAATATTCTACAAGTTAACTTTCCACTTTTCTATTTAGCCAGCATGAAGGCATAGCAGGTTATGCAGATTGTTATAAATTCAAAAAAATTTGAAATGCCTTGGGCCACCATATCAATACCTGAACCTCTCTTTCAGCAGCACGATGGTCTAGAAAGAAAATAATATGCATGGAAAAAGAGTTGCTTGCATTGTTCATGGAAAAAGCCAACTTTTGGCTTTCTCCTGTAGCCATCATCATTTGAAAATAGATACACCTCGAGTACATAAAAGGGTTTCAAAAAGTAGTAGTAAAAAAGACCTCTGGAAACTCTTGGTAAATCTAAAATTATTAAGTTCAAATTGTCCAGCAGCATAATATCATAAAAGAAAGTATATCAACTTGCACAAAAAGCATATATTTATTGGATATTTCACCTTTTACTTAATCTGTCACAAGAAACTTCGATTTTATTTAACAAGACTCCATCCTCATTGATTAAGTGGACTTGTTATCAAAGCCGAGCCACTAACAAAAGATAGACTAAGGAGAATAGTGTGGCAGTGAAATATCTGAATGCAGATATTCCATTACCTGAAAATGAACTGCGAGGATCAAATTCACCAAAGTCATCTACTTCCCCATTATTATCAGGAGCTGGACATGGCGCTGGTGGTAAAGCAGGAGCCAGGTGTGAAGCAGATGTTGTCACATGGCTTGGACTAACACTTGCAGGAGGAGAGGATGCTTTAGGAACAACTGGTAGTTCTCCATCCCTTTTGACAATAGGGAGTCAGGAGAGATTTGAAATAATTGAAGCAGAAGCTAGGTTGTGGATAGTTTATTACCTTTCACTAAGAGTGGGATTGCATGCAGTACCAACAACCTCTTCATAACTAGGAGGAGCACCGACGCTTGTTTCAGAATATTTATGGTCAAGGTGCCTACCGTTCATGCTACAACAACAGCAAAAACAACTAAGCTTGTTCGCAATAAACAAAGCCTGCCAGAAATAATTGGCAAAAAAGCCACAGATAAAAATATATTCCTCTAAAATTATTAATAGCATGAAAAGGTTTTCCCAGAATTACCTTCCATTTTGAGAATGATCATCGCCTTTGTCATTACTAACTCTACAATTCGCAAATTTAAAATTTTAATCAATAATATGTAATAAACAAACCAAAAAATCTTACGTGTAAAATATTAAGGTAAATAATGCAACTCCCTGACTTGAAAACTTCAGAGAAACTACAATGATAATCAATCCTAGAATGATATCCAGTCAAAATGTGCACATTTGTTCTTTTTCCATACTTTTAACTCTTTGTAGAAAAACTATTTCATGCTTATAATGTCATTATTTAGCCTTTTGGGTTTATCATTGAAACTAACAGACCAATAATATCTTTTGTAAGGGAAACACTAAAATATTTGACTGCAAAGGTGGATTTTAATTTTTACTTAAACGTTAGAAAACTTAAAAACCTGGAAGAACTTCGTCCATCATCTTCATAAGCAGGGTTCTCATTCCTACCAGTGCTTCCAGTTTGTGACCCATCCTGATAATCATCATTGCTTTGAGTTCTTCCACGGTAGTCATCATCCCTGTAACCATCTTGGCCATACCGCTCCTCGTTATCTCTAGTATACCTGTCTCCATCATGGCCATATGAATCACCATATCTATCATCATCCCTGCTGTCCCATTCTCGTTCTCTTCCATAGTCATTTCGCCCGTCATATCTGCTACCATAACGATCTTCATCATATCTGTCACCATATCCTCCTGCATTCGACTGAGAACCAGGCTGATACATACCACCACCAGTTGACGTGTTGCGATACCTATTACAATACCCATATACAGTCAAAACATAATTTCATACATACTATCTGGATTTTTTTGGTTACTCCAAGCATGCCAAATGCAACATGAGGTAGCCAATAAAAGTTGAAAATGAGACACCATACCCCTATTGCACAATGAAAAGATTATAAAATGAAACTGCTTTGACCCTTGGCCCAACCTTCCCAAAGAAAATAGAAAGAGGGGGGAGAGAATAAGATTTCTGATTTCCATATTATCAAGATTTTTGGTTTCTCAAGCTTTTTAGTCCATAGGCTTTACTATTCTGCAGAGTCCAGACTATCCAAAGATGAACATTCTCCCCTCTACTTCCAAGATAACATAAGTTTTCACCCATCAAAATTTGATTTCTTATGGAAACTACAACAAATTGACAATTCAACCTATGTTTTTCATAGCCAGTCGCAAACCCAGATAAAGAGAGTTGAGGTAAGTTGATAGCCAGGATAACTTTGTGAAATCTTATAACATAAATCCTAATAAACATTTTGTTTGCATTTTAGCCCACCCCAAATTTAATAGGAACAAGGCTTAGTTTATTGGGTAAAAATTCAGTAAGATTGATTATCAACTCCTAAATAATCATATTCGCATAAGATTAAGGTAAGGCTAAAATTAGTTCTGCCTTCACTGTACAACCTCTTAGTTGACAGGTACAAAATTTCGAAATTCAAGGGTAATGCTAGGGATTATTTAGTAATCCAATCCTACATATTTATTCTTTTTAAAACACTACAAAACAATAAATGAGAAGATTAATAACAAAACCTCAAAAGGTTGCAAGAATTTCAATCACCAGTCCGAGGCAACACAGACATTATCCACATTTATCCCAAAATTAACCTACGAGGAGGCACTTCATAAAAAGGTTTCTTCCCCTCGGAGGAAGATGTACATATATGTCATGATAACAGGCTTAACAGCCCCATGCCCCCATCTCCTAATAGTAGACTTTGAAAATTTTAAGAAACCATTAAAAAAATGGAAAAAAGAGAACAAGGGACAACATCCTTGGAGTCTTAGCTCAAGATGCAAAGTAAAGCATTAGCTTATGATTCAACCTCTACCCGGGCATAAGAATTTAACAAAAAATATAGGTCGCAATTACAGTTGGGTAACAGAATGTACACAAGTGCATATTGAATCTTAATCACCTTTCTGCCTTTCAGAAAATTTCAAAATTTTCAAAAAAGAACCAAGAAAGATTAGTAATGATCTGGCATGGTCACAGCCAAAAGAAAATATGAAGTAAAACCTTCCAGATTTTAGAATGAAATACAGACACAAAACAAAGTCATATTTAACCTCAAGTGATTAATATAATGAATCAACAAAATGGAAAATAATAGTTACAAAATGATACTTCTGAGGTGTAACTATGCCATGACAAGGGTAATCAGGACACTTGAAGCAGACTTACTTGTCCCTGTTAGCAGCAGCCTTCTCACGAACTTCTTGTATTTTTTCCTTGTCATTTACAAGGGCTACAACAATCTGAGATTTCCTTCTAACATTGCTTCCTTGATCCCTCCCACTGGAATCAATATATTGAAAATCGAACAATGCCTATCAAAAGAAAAATACATTGTAAATGCTAGCTTAATCATCCTAAGAAATTCCATGCTTATCTAAAGATTTGTAGATATAAAAAATAAACTCACCGACACTTGGTAAGTATGTTCCCTGATCTCATCTATGGCACGCTCTGATCCATGAGCTACCAAGTACTCCAAAACTGTCAAAGCCTGGAAAATTGTTCATTTGCATATTCAAGAGAATGCTAGATGCCAAAAAGAACGACGAGTACATACAACAGGATGAGGTAAAACAGAGGTCACCATCAATGCACAAAAAATGCGGGTCGGAAAAACTAATTTAAAAATTATATTCCCTAGAAAAAAAATATTTACAGAAATATGTAAAAGCAAAAAATACTGCTCTCTTCAATTTGTAGAGGGGTCTGGAGAGAGTATGGAGGAATAGATAGGAAAGTCCCCAAGAAGTTATAGTAAAAACAAAACAAGAATTTCAATGACTAAACACTGAACACACAGCTTCTCCGTAAACAAGGAAGAAGAAAAACCTTGAAGACATGACGCCAGTTTTTTCCAGTATCATTGATACGCTTCCAGATGACCGCCATAATCATCTGATACTCATGACTATTGAAATAGAAAATGAATACTTTATGACGAAAAGAATGATCAGAAAGCACAAGGAAGATTCATTAAACTCACTAATTTTTTGATGCCTGAGCAATATCAAAGAGAAGAGATCCATGGGGACCCCAGGGCTCATTGCTGGTGGCATCAAGGACCTGAAACCCAAATGTTAAATGCTGTTAAAGAGAGAAACGGAAACAGAAAAGCTATTTTGAAATTAAGTGCCTGCAGGTGACAACCTGAAAGTTACAACCTTCCCATGAATACCAAAGTAATCATAAGACATTGAAGAAATTTGGAAAATATAGAAGAAGCAGAAAAACTGCAAAAATTACCTTTCTTTCTATAGGAGGGACTTTCAGGACCTTTTTATTCACCTCTCTCTTACTGCAAAGAGGAAGTAACACACATAAGATTAAGTTTCAGAGTCTTGTCTCCACACAAACAAAATTAGATTCTAAAGTACATTTGCAATGCAAAGACAAAGTTTCAGAATTAGTAAATATATGTAGAGATATTCTTAAATTATTTTGGGAAAAATAAATGACAGATTTCTAATATTTATAAACAATTTAGAAATCAATACTTTGATATGCTTCCTATATATCATACAAATCAGTATAATGACAAGACACAATATCATATGTATAATACAAAAACCTGAATTTTGGGATAAAAATGTTTGCAAACAGAGTTATACTTACATGTCGCGGACAGTTTGACCAAAAACCTTCTTCATTTCAGCTTTGGCTTAGGAAGGCAGATCAGAAATTCTCTTCCAATTATTGTACACTGCCAAAAGGTAAATAATCAAACCATTATACTTGACATACAGTAAATTTCTTTCTTTTGAGGGTGAGAACTGAATCAAAGCAAGAGCTATCGAAAGGATGAATACGAATTTCAACAAGAGGTCAACCCTCGGAATTTCATTTTCTTTATTTCGTTTGAGTCAATTCAATCAGGAAATGAAATTTAAGCAAGAAACATTGCCTTACAAAATCCAAATAATATCCAGTAATCCAAAAAAAAACCAGATATTACATTACATGAGGAACACCAAATTGCAAATCATAAAGGAAGTTCAGAAAATGTGAATCTTTTTGTCATCCGCTATGCAAATTGATCCATGAAAAACATATATTATTTGAACAGAGAGCAAAATAACACAAACATCTAGCAAATTAGATCGGGGATACAATCAAGAA